GACACAACAATCACAACAATTCCTTGAACTTGTTAAGAAAAGTGAACAGATATGATGTAGTGGGGAGAGGGGAGAGAGGGAGAGTGAAAGAGGAATGGGTAAAGGGTCACAAAAATCAACTATAATGTATATTGAGAAGTCAAAATTTTTTTTAAAAAGCCATCTTTGACTCTTCCACTTTTTACCTCATCTATTACTAAACTTTTGTGTTCTAAAAAATCAAACCTCTTAAAAGACTTCTTTTTCTCATTTATTTTGATTCATATCTAATAATAAGAAACATTTCTTGAATGTTTGCCATGAGCCAAATATTGTGCTAAGTGTTTTATATGCATGATCACAGTCTTTACCATAATCCTATGAAGTAGCCAATTCATTTTGCAGATGCAGAAATTGAAGTTTAGAAAAGATGAATATTATGTCCATGGTCACAAAGCTCCACTTAAACCTAAGTTGTATTCTGAATAGATCAGCACACATTATATACATGTACTAAAAAATTATTCTATACCCCATAAATATGTACAATCAATGTTTCAATAAAAAATTAAAGTTAAATAAAATAAAATGCAGGGATTATCAGAATGGGTTAAAAAACCCTCAAAACCCAAGTTGGTCTGACTCTAGAGTTGGTGCTCTTATTAACCACTCTTCTGTGCCTCCTTTGAAACAGTCTATGATCTAATAATCTAATACGGAGGGTGCCAGTGTGTGTGAATGTGTATGTATATGTAGTACATAATGCCATGGGGTAAGGAAAGAAAATATTAGGCCATATATTTATTTTCATTCTCCATATAAAAATAAAAATTTAAACATTACTAATATTTAATACTCAGATCAACCCTGGCAACCTCACTCAGTTCATATTTCAGATGTCACACGTGTAGCATCTCTTAGCAGAAGGGGAGTTTCACAAAATGGTGGTGTTAACTAGGTCACCATCAACAAAGTCTAGGTGTCCCCACTTTAATGGATTTATAGATTATATGTTCCTTTCTTCCTCCCTCCTTCACTCCCTGTCTTCCTTCCTTCTTTCCTGTCTTCCATTCTTCCTTCCTTGCTTCTACTGAATACTTGATAAAAACTGTGCCAAACCATGATTATATAAATTAAATATGCATAAAATGCAGAGGAGCTCCTAATATTTTAGAGATAACACACATATTTATTTATCTGTTAGTTTGTTCAATTAATAATCATTCGAGAATCTACTACATACCATGCATTGTTACAGCAGCAATGGAATCGGCAGAAAACTAGAAAAAATCTCTGAAATAACTGAGCTTATGTTTTAGAGGGAGAAATTGAACATAAACAAAAACCAGATATCATATTAGGAGTTAGGAGTAAATAAGGGAAACAGGGGTTTGGGCAGCAATTTCAAATAAAGATGGTGAGAAAAGTCCCCACTGGAGAAATAACATTTGAGAAGAGACCCGGCTAAAATGAGACACTGAACTACACAAGTATTTGATGGAAAATTCCAAGCAGAATGAAGAGCAAGTGCAAATAATATTAGACGGGAATACACTTGACATGGTCTCACAAGGAGGCTGTGTGGCTAGCATGGCGTGAGCAAGGGCTGGAGTCACAGCAGATAAAGTCCGAGGGTAGCTGGGAGTCAGATCATGTGAGTCCTGTGGGAAGGACTTGGACTTTTTCTTTTAGATGCAATATGAAGCCTTTGAAGCATTTCAAATAGGGTGTAACAATATAGGATTTATGCTTCTAAAATTTCATTTTGGCTGTGGTGTGGAGACTCTGTTGGAGTAAGGGTGGAAGCAGGAAGACCAGTTAGGAGAAAATCACAGTAGTTCGGGTGAGAAGTGATGGTGACTTGGGTTCTGGATCCAGTGAAGGTGGTGGAAAGAAACTGAATTCCAGATATAGTATTTTGTGGGTAGAAAAAATTGAATTTGTTGATAAAGTGGACATAAGGTGTGAAAAGAGTGAGAAAAAAATTTTTTTTTCTTTAAATTTCCTTTTTTTTTTTTTTTGTCTTTTTTGTGACCGGCCACACCGCGCTCAGCCAGTGAGCGCACCGGCCAATCCTATATAGGATCTGAACATGCTGCTGTGCTCCCAGCGCTGCACTCTCCCGAGTGCGCCACAGGGTCGTCCCTAAAGGTGAGAAAATTTTGAAATAATCAAATGGGTGAATAATTGAGTGTATTAAAATTGTCAGCTTACTTATCTGTCATCCCTACTAGATTATAAATAGCATCTGGAAACAGCAAGAGCTCAACATAGGTTCATTGTATA